TATAGATCTATAGATCTATAGATCTATATATATCTATATCTAATCTATATAATCTATATCTATATCTATATTATCTACCTATATATGCATATATATAAGCTATACATTGGCAGGACATCAAAGGGCAGAATCTAACTAAATATTTCTTTTCCAACCTTTTGGAAATATAGAATTCCTTAAATATATTATGGGTAAAAAAAAATACTGTTAGAAAGGACTGTCAGACTATTTTAGTAATACAGAGAGAAATCACRACCAGCAAAGCAGATGTGATGAGAGTTTCCAGCATGATTTTTATTCTAGTTGTTACTGAAAATTAGTTCACTGTTAGTGTTTAGCTACAGATTCTGTCTCAGAAGAGAGGCATTGCTGTGTGAATGGTYCCTCCTTTCAGTGCATAACCTCTGATAATTATTGCCTTAGATATGATAATTCTCATTTTTATTGGAGTGTAGTATTGGAAAGATTATATAGCAGATATGTATTATTTAATGCAAAAATTAAAATTCACTGCCTCTATACAATAAAGTAACTTTTGGAAGTAAGTTTTGGAATCTTCTATGAAAAATGTGTTCTCATATTTTAATAACTGTTATTTTCCYATATGAAGTATAAGCACCTAGAAGATTCATTATATGAGAAACTTTTCAGTTATTTCTGAAATATTTTGTTTCTTATGGTTGAGATCACTTCTTTCTTCATCTGGAAAAGACAAACAGTAGGCAGGGTGAGAGGTCAGGGCAAAATGACATTTTTGTCATGAGCTTCTAATTCTTGTTTTTTCTCCTTAAGCTCAAAATACGGGCCTGGTGAGTACATGGTGACTGTGGTTTGTGATTAAGGGAGCACAACTTTCTAAATGGTTCTGTGTTCATCTTCCTGTGCCTTTAAAAAAGTAATAATTTGAAAAAAAAAAATAAAATCCCAGCAAACATTAAAGCAGATATTGAAGGGCAGCAGTGTATCTGTCACAGTCAGTCTGTTGTCYCCTGGGACCTCTACCAGATCTGTTCCTTCTCTGTATAAATGAAGTGTTTAGTGCTTCAGTGTTTTACATAATGTTTTCTTGAATGATCTGAAAGGGGAAGTAGAAAGCACATTAGTTACATCTGCAGATGATGCAGAGCCAGAGAGCTACAGCAGCTGTTAAGGATGGTGAGAAATTTAAATTCATCTGGGGAGCAGCGATGTACAGGAATTTACAAAGCTAACAAAAAAAAAAAAAGAAAAAAATCAAAATTCACCGTTACAAATTTACAAAATCACCTCGGAAACATGATCCAAACCAAAGACATGTTGCTTGTCAAATTAGCTTAGTGAGGTGTTAATGACGCTTTCTTTCACTCCTTCAGTAAGCAAGAGCTGTTTATCTTGATATCCCACCCAGTTAACTGTTTGTTATGATATCCTGATCTTTAACCACTTCCACTGGATCTCCTTGTTCCCACTGTTTTCCAGTGGCACTACTCTGTTTTTGGCGATGAAGGACAAATTACTGAGCTGCTTCTCGGTTTGGTTGCAAGGAAAAGYTTAGCACCATGTGAGAAAACTAATGCTCCTTTTTAATGATATATTTTTCCCCCCACAACATTTATTTTAATAGAATTCTATCCACTATTTATAAGTCTGTCCCAAATTCAGAGTCCTTGGATGTAAAATTGTGTTACTTTATCATCTTCTCCTCTAACTGTTTTCCAGTTTGGGACTCTGGAGCAGAACTGCCCTGAGAATTCTTTATTCCTTTGTGTTGTTTTACTCCTGCTTTGGGAATTCAGAGGGCCTGGCTGCCCTTTTTGGCTTATCAGCCTCTCAGCACCGGGCTCGTGGTGGGGCAAAAAGTAATTTGCCGAGATAGGGGGTTGCTATTGTTAGTGCTGATGTCTCAGTGTGTTAAGGAGGTGATGTAAAATGATTCCACAGCTGAAAGAGCAGCCCAGAAAAGGGGTTTTTTGGGTGCAATTCTACTATTCTTGAGTGTCACATCCCTTCTGTTTAATTAGGGTTATATCCAAGCATCCATGATTTTTTGGAGGTAGCTGGACAATGTGCTCCCCCACAATTTCCTAAATTAAGATTAGGTGTTTGGGGGAGGATGGAAGATAGAGAAGAATGTTTGTTTT